TGTGTGTGTGTGTGTGTGTGTGTGTGTGTGTGTGTGTGTGTGTGTGTGTGTGTGCGCGTGTGTGTGTGTGTTAAGAACCTGCAGGCTGACAGAGAACAGCTCCTCTGTGGCCCCTCAGCTCATGCTGCTGTCCCTCTTTCTTTTTTCTTTCTAAAAACACAGCCTGCAGTCAAGTCACCCACACATGTGTACAGTCTTATGCACACACTCCTATCTTGACCTCCTCTGTTTCATCAGTTCTTCTCCTTTCTTCATTCTTCTGCCTCAGGCTTTAACAAACCCTCTTTCTCCCTAAATCTACCTCCATCTCTGCATCTCTCCCCGAGATTAAACCCATGACTCATAAAGAATTCATTTGGATGTTAATTTCAGAGCCGAGCATGCTGGATTAGATTTTACCTCCCAGCCCAAGATAGATTAACAACCAGTTTCAACAAAGAGGAAAACTATATATATACAGTACATATAGCAACACAGTCTCTATTATTGAACAGTTTACAATCTATGTTGCATCTAAAACCCAAATTCACCAGACAAGGAATGTAAGAGGCTTTAAAAAGAAAACAGGGTTGGGCTGTAGTTCACTAGAACATTTATTCTTATTTAGACTGTCTAATATTAAAAAGTACATGTTTTATAAAGCTTCAATCCTTATCTAATAAGTGATATTACTGGTTTTAGATTTCTTATCTATTATAGGCTTTAAATATACACCATTTTTTTTATTTTCCTGACAAAGAATTATGGTCACTGCATGTTTTTTTTTCTAGACCATTCTCTGTAAACCCTGGAGACAGCTAAGTGTAAAAATCAATTTTCAAACCAGTCTGTCTGGCACCATTTAGTTACCACGAAAATGTTACATCTTTCCATTCTGATGTTTAATTTGAGCCACAGTCCTCTGGACCATTTCTACAGCAGTCTCTGCCAAGTGTTTGATGACTTGGTTTCATTAGCTGATTAGATAATAAAGTAGCTGTTGAATTTATATCTGAAATAATCTTCACTCGGACACTTACTAAGTAAATTTGGTGTGTTTCTCTGTGCAAATGATTTTGAAAATGTTGGATTTTTACAAGTTTGCATCAAAGTCAAAATGTTGGATTCGTTTTTTATACACTGGAGAACCCTATTTGTTGAATCCTGTTAAATTCATGATTAACATTAATTTTCACCATGTGTACACTGCAAAAAATATCCACCTAACTAAGTTTTATAATCTTATATCAGCCAAAAAAGTCTTTTTTGATTTTGTTTTGAGACTGATTTACTAAACAAGAACTGATTGTGTAAGAATAATAATCTTGTTTTCAGAATGTGTAAGATTATTTGTCTTAGACTGAAATTTTGACTCAATTAAGTGAAAAATTTTGGCAAACGGAGTAAAAAAATTTACTTGGTAAGATTCTTGAAATTCTTGATTTGACTCAATTTTTTCTTATTTCAAGAATCTTACCAAGTAAAATTTTCTTACTCCAGTGGCAGAAATTTTTTCACTTAATTTGAGTCAAATTTTCAGACCAACAAGACAGATAATCTTACACATTTTGAAAACAAGATGATGACGGTGCGCAGC